GAGGATTCAAGCATATTCATATTAAAGTCTCCGATAAACACAATTTCTTTGCGTTTGACGTACATTCTCTCAGCTGCTGACGCACAGGCTGGAATAAAATCCGTGATTTTACATTTCACAGGAGAGCGGTAACAGGCACATATCAGAAACCAATTATTTGCATATCCCTTTACGTCTAAGCAAATTGATTCAACTCCTTCTGGCTCGAAATTAATCCGACGGTGGGCCATTACGTTCGATCTGATATAAACGAGTAGTCCACCTCCTCTTCTTTTTCTGTCCCGTCGAATAATATAATATTGCGGGTAGGTAAATAATACGATATTGCGGGTGGGTAAATAAAGAAGAAGAGGTAGTCCCATCAATCTTGCTCTCAGAGATAAAGAAGATATCAAAAGCACATACATCGAGTAGAAAACTTCGTCTGCTTTGCCCAAGATGCTATTTACATTAAGATGGCCGATATTCAAGTTGTTTTTATAGTAGCCGTTTATGGTCGTAGAAAACCACTCTATCGGTGATTGTAATGATTGCGAATCACTCTCACTGGAGTTTTCTATGTCTAGTAGCGCTGATTCCGAAAACAAAGAAATCAGTTCCTCGGTGGAAGTGGTGGAAAATGGTAGAATTGCTAAACAACAGAAGTTGCACATCTATGGCTTTAGTGAACCTGTAGAAGCATTAACAGCTCGATATTGCTTGATGGAAAGATCGTTACATTTAATGTGATAGGTACAATTGCAGTTAGAAGACCGAATTGAGCGGTGGTTCACGGCGATAGTTCTTTGGCACGCCGGGCATTTAAGTTTGTCGCCAGGATTTCTTTCCACGTCTCCGGCTCTTAGGAGTAGAATACTATGGGCCGCTACAGAGTTAGAGTAGTATAATATCTTCCTGGGCAAAAAATTCCTTCGCCAGCACCGCTTTCGGCTAAGACCAGCCACAAAGTTGACATGGAAAGAAAGGCGCCCCAGGTCAGGTCGATTATGAAACAGAAAATCATCTGCCTCCCTCTGCTTTAAGGTGTAATTTTATCCAACGGAAATACTTGTAAGTTTAAACAGCGTAACATCCGAATCATTGATCTCGATCGTAGATGATGTGGGTATAAAGAACCACATAGACAGGACCAGCGAAGCAAAAACGTGGCCGGCCGCCATGATGGAAGAGTTCATGATACTGCAAAGATAAGAACTATAAAATTATTTAGTAAAACTAGCAAAAATGGTGGCTCATTATATATCTTACTATTGTACTGAGTCTTTGTTCTTTCGCCGATTTTCTTCGAATGGATAAAACTGATTACATGGTAAGTGAACTGTTCTCAATTGGTGACCATTTTTGGAATAGTTGATTGTGTTACGAATTCTTATGCAGACCCTGAGGGATCGTTTGATTTATTTGAACTACCTGCCATAATTTGGTGTAATTTATCTCAGATAATCTTGTTGAAACGAATTGAAGACAGAAACGATTAGCAACTGATATAATCCTGGCTACGAAATGCTAACACTTCGAGTAAAAATTTCTAAGCTCTGATTGCTCAGTTTTTTGGTATGTTTAACAGTTAGTATCACAGTTATAACCCAGTTGATGTCGTACAAAGGTGATATAGAAGTGGCACTTTAACAAAATACTTAGGAGAGACAAAGGACTCTGAGTTTTACTGATTTTCGTATTTTCTCAACGTCAAAACTCGCATCACTGAACACCATCGACCTACACTAATATCAAGACTGACGTTAAAAAGCTTGTTTATTAACTTGGGGAAGGAGACTCCTCACAACAGATGACCCAAACTATCGGCACCATATAAACGACTTGAAGAAAACCAACACGGTCACCAACAGACCAAACAGAACAAACTAACCTTACCGACTTATCGAAAGCTATCAAAACTGACTAACTAACAGACGAACGCCACTGATTTGAGTCCGACAGCCACAGACAAATCACTCTCTTTAAGAAAACATTGGTAACGTTCGACTTAAAAACAATAGATCAGTTGCCTTTGATAACTTCTGCTCAGGCCAGTCACTATATTCGAAAACAAACCTTATCGGGACTACTCTCACCTAGACGATTGATATCTTGCTTCACGATTGACAACTGAGTGATACCTAGAGTAAAATTTGGTCGAAAACGTATTGATTCTAATAAATATTCATCCTCGGCATTAATTGAATTAAATTGGAAATATAGGAACTTTTATCGAAAAAAAGGAATTTTTTTTTTCATACACAAGGTGTCAATTTGGTGAAGGGCCACCTTAGATTATATCCGTTACTTTGTGCCATCAACTGAGCCTGGTTCCACTTGGAAGCAACATATGTTTAAAAATCTAATGCCTGGTCACGGATTCTTGCGAGAAACTGATTAAGTCGAAATTTCCCGCTATGTAAACTAGTTTAAATTGACTCCTTTTCACAACTAAGAATTATGGATTTCATGTTTCAACGAAGAGTTTGTTCAATAGAAATTAATATGGTGAATCGTTTCGCAATTCGTTGAAAAGTAGTTTACAGGTTGGACGAAAGTCAAGGTGAAAACTGCTGTTTGCTGAAAGGTTGCCGGAAAAAGCACAAAGTGCACTCGACAATCCTGCATACCATTGTGGGTAGTTTTCAGATCACGGTTCCTTGATGATCACGGGGAAATCTGGGAAAACATCACTGTAAGGACGAGGCTTAGGCATAGCGGCTTTGATGAATTTACTTTGTTCGCGAGCTTGGTCTTTAATTTTAGACTGGAGGGAAAAAAATTAGTACGAATTGATCCTAATAAACGACAAAAATGATGTAAACTCAACAAGAGCGAATACGAAGTGACCTAAAGAAAAAATGTTTTCAACGTGATATTCTATTGTTTTGTTCCCCTCGTCTTAACTTGCATGTCGGTATTTATCCTCTGTTGGCAAGTCGTTCTAACCATATTCATTTCTTTTGCTTAATAAATTCATTCATCACAGGATACTTATTAGGTTGCCAAGTCATAGTACATATTACTGATTGAGGTTGTCGCGTGCACTTTGTCCTATTTGCAAACGAGCTGATCTTTTGATCAATAAACAAAAAATGTGTTCGTTGTTATAACAAATCATAATTACCTTAAGCCAACGACAAAATTACTTTCTTAGTTACTCATCACAATTTTAAACTTTTTCCGATTAAAACAGAATTAACTAATCTTTCCACTCGAACGTTGTCATGTATTAATGACGGGTTGCATCTCGACATTTAAGTAACTACAAACATATTTGGTTATTTTGAAATTGAAATTGTTGCAGAAAGCACGTTGATTTAAAGAAACCAAAACACGAACAGCGAATGCGAATTAGTTTTATTCAAACAAAAGTTTACGGAAAACAAATGTGACCTCGCTTTGAAAACGGAGCTAGTACTTTTGATTCAGTTCCTTTTCCGCGATGGTTGTCACTTTGCTGGTTTATATGAAATTGCTTCCTAAATTAGAATTTTCTGGGCGGTCTGTAAAATTTATTAAGTTGCATTTGAAAGAAGGGATCACTTGTTACTCTTTGCACCAGGCATTTGGTTTTACAGTCAAACTAAGTGAAGCGTACCCCTCAAGATTACATTAATGAATTGATCATTTGGATATTGAACCCGCCAGTCGTTTCCAGAATGCAATAATGAATTGATTATTTGATTATTGAACCCGCTAGCCGTTTCACGAATGCAATAATGGATTGATTATTTGAATATTGAACCCGATAGCCGTATCCGTTTTGAAAAGGCGCGGATCATTGTTCAAATTAGAAGTCCATTTCTGAAGTCCAATAAGATTGTTCTATTTGACGAGGAATCCTGAAAATGAACAAACTGCACTGTAAAAACACTGCGAAAACAGTCGATCGCAAATATTAACGAAATAAAAAAAGTCTTGCGATGGCTTCGCCCGTAAACTATTTTTTTCGACCATGAATACACACAAGAATTTCTACAAGTTCGTCAAGATGTAAATAGGTACTGCCTTCGAAGTGAGAAAATGTTTTTCCCTAAGAAGGACCGATCTCCTTTTATTCTCGTGTGTAGGGAAGACGAGAGGTGGACTCCTTCCCCGAGTTACCGTCAAGAGGATGGGCGGTAGTTACTGGGGACTTGGTTTCAAACTGCCTGCAAGCGACTTACTACCCCGCTTAGTCAAAAAAAAAAAAAATTGAGACCAATTGTCATTTTTGTCCTCTGCTTAAAACGACAGGCCAAGTTTTACTTAGAGTTGTCCCAAGTTCTATCTGAGCCATTTTCATCTGTAAGCAGAACTTGTAATTTTCTTTTAACTCGGTTCTGTCTCTTAAGTAGTGGTCCTGTCTTGGCAGATGTCATCTATAAACAAGACGTTTTTTTTGTTTCCTTTTTGTTTTCTCCTGGTTCCGTCTCTCCGGTAATCAGTCCTTTCTGGGCTGTTATAGTCTGAGAGCAGAACATTTCTAGCTTGTAGCCTTGCCGTTTCTATCAGGTAGGCTATGAAATCGAGTTATAGAAGCTCTGCGCGTTGATGAACCGGACGCAGAACCTGAACCACGTGAAGATGTCGAGAAGTGACGACGTCTCTATACATTT